TACAGGTTCAGTGTGGTTATGTCAGGGCTAAGCTAGCTGGGAGGCCAGGAGAAATAAGTGGGCCTTCATTCTACAAGTTGTCATCAATGTTTTTGATCTTGGCAATTCTTACAGGAGTAAGATGGAATCTCAGAGTTGTTTTGATTTGTATTTCTCTGATGCTAAGGATATTGAGCATTTGCTTAAGTGTCATTCAGCCATTTTAGATTCCTCTGTTGAGAGTTTTTGTTTAGGCTTGTACCCCATTTTCTGTGGGATTATTTGTTCTTTTGATATCAAGTTTCTTGAGTTCTTTGTACATTTTGAAGATCAGACCTCTGTCTGATGTGGGGTTGGTGAAGATCCTTTCCCATTCAGTAGGCTGGCATTTTGTCTTCTTAACCATGTCCTTTGCTTTACAGAAGCTTTTCAATTTCTAGAGGTCCCATTTATTAATTGTTTATCTCAGTGTCTGTGCTACTGGGTTGTATTTAGGAAGTGGTCTCCTGTGTCAGTGTGTTCAAGTGTACTTCCCATTTTTGCTTCTATGAGGTTCAGTGTGGTTGGTTTTATGTTGAAGACATTGATTCATTTGAACTTGAGTTCTGTGCATGGCAATAGACACCGATCTATCTACATTCTTCTACATGTTGACAGCCAGGTATACCAGAACCATTTGTTGAATATGATTTCTTTTTTCCATATCATATTTTTCGCTTCTTTGTCAAAAATCAGGTGTTTGTATATGTGTGAATTGATATCTGGGCCTTGGATTCAATTCTGTTGGTTCTCCTGTCTGTTTTTGTACCAATACTAGGATGTTTTCACTACTGTAGCTCTGTAGTAGAGATTGAAGTCAGAGATTGTGATGCCTCCAGAAGTTCCTTTATTGTACAGGATTGCTTTGGTCATCCTGAGTTATTTGCTTTTCCAAATGTAGTTGATTATTGTTCTTTCAAGGTCTGTAAAGAATGTTGCTGGGATTTTGATGGGCATTTCATTGAATCTGTATATTGCTTTTGGTGAGATTGCCTTTTGTACTATGTTAGTTCTAACTACCCAAAAGCATGGGAGGTGACTACCTTATTATTCCTTTAATATGTACATATTTATAGGGTGCTTGTTCTACAATAATAGGTTTCCATATAGGTTTTCAAATGGTCCTTGGTGTCAGTGCCCCTTCTTTCTTTCCTTCTCTACCTTGCCCTCCCACTCCTTTCCATTTACCCTCATTCTGGTTTTCTGTTTATCTCTTTATAACTTTATACTCTTACTTATCCTTCCTTTGGAAGTGCCCCTTATTCTCCCTGGTCCCTTACTAGCTGCCTTACCTCTAAGGTTATGCAAATCAAAGCACACATGTTTAAAGCTTAAAAGTCAACATCCGCATATAAGATAAAACATACAGTATTTGTCTTTGGGGGTCTGGGTTACTTCACTCAGAATAAGTGAGTCTAGATGCATTTCAACAGCTGGATAATGTTCCGCTGTGTAATTGTATTACATTTTCAGTATGCACTTGTCAGTTGTTAGTCACAAAATCGGTTCCCGATTTCTGGCTATAGTTATAGAGCAGCAGAGAATATAGATGAGAAAGTGTCTCTGTAGTAGTATGTAGAGGCCTCTGGAGCTATACACAAGAGTATTCTAGATGTTTCTGTGGCAGATTAGTTTCTTTTCTTTTCTTTTCTTTTATTATTTTTTTATTTATTTATTATTTATTAAAGATTTCTGCCTCCTCCCCGCCACCGCCTCCCATTTCCCTCCCCCTCCCCCGATCAAGTCCCCTTCCCTGGTCAGCCCAAAGAGCAATCAAGGTTTCCTGCCCTGTGTGAAGTTCAAGGACCACCCTCCTCCATCCAGGTCTAGTAAGGCGAGCATCCAAACTGCCTAGGCTCCCACAAAGCCAGTACGTGCAGTAGGATCAAAAACCCATTGCCATTGTTCGGATTAGTTTTCATGTTTTGAAAGTGTTGATGGTTTCTGGAAGATGTGCATCTTGGTTGGTCATGTTTGCATTTTCTGCACATGGATCTAAGAATCTAGTGTTACAATATTTGAAATGCTCTGTGGTGTAACTATCCTTTCTTGTATATGTTAGGTAGGTGTTCTGTCATTTTGATTGATGCAGCCCACTCTGCTCCTGGCCATTCTGGGCACCTCTGTGGTCCCTATATTCCATCCTATTGGGAGAACTGTAAGGAACCTGGTAGAGAACTGTTATGCAAGCCGCACTACTCACAAAGGAACAGAGCATGTCTAGAAGGGAATACTGACAGGGTGACTGGCAGGAGTTCTTTGGCTCATTAACAAAAGAATGGGTCCCTAAAGAAGGGAGATAGGCTCGGTGGGTGGGGTGTCACATGTGGACAGGCTACACAGGACTGAAAGTAATAGGTATATAGACAACTTCAATACTGAGGATCCTAGTCTTATTTAATTTATTTTTTGTTTTTGTTTGTTTGTTGTTTGTTTTTTGTTGTTGTTGTGAAAGACCCTCAGAGAGGACCTTTTCCTCTGATGAAGACCCCAGAACCAGGACACTCCGAGACCAGGCCACAGGATGCAATTAGCAAGAGGTTTATTGAGTAAACACAGGTACCTGTGGGCAGCAAGTCTTTCGGAGGACTTGTGCCCCTGCAGACTGGGGGAAGGTCTTTTTATAGGAAAGAGGGCAGCAGAAACAGATTACAGAAGCAAATGCGTGGTCAGTTGGAATGGGGCAAGGGGCATAGGTGGTTTTTCCTTTCCCAGCACAGATGTATGGGAACAGATATCCTGTTCTTCTTCTGGTTTTTCCTTTCCCAGCACAGATGTATGGGACCAGATATCCTGCTTTACAGCCAGGGACCCTGACCTCACTTTGCACTTACATTTGTTCGTCAAAAGCCTTGTGAAATGACGTTACAGCAGCTAAGCTGGGATCTTTCATAGGGGGAATTGTTTCTTTTTGTGAATTGCTGATATTCTAAGTTGGGCACATGTGCTGACTATAGGCATCCTGTTTCCCTAAGCAAACGGGATGTTCTCATGAGAGCCCGCTAGCTGCAGGTCCTGAGAGGGTCCTGAGGGTCTCAAGCGAACAGGATGTTCTCATGGGAGCAGGCCAGCTGCGGGTTCTCGGGGGGGGGGGGGGGGGGGCGTGTCCAGAGGGTCTTTCAGTTGTTTTCCAAGACAGGATTTCTCTATGCAACAGCCCTGGCTGTCCTTGATCAATTTGTAGACCAGGCTGGCCTTGAACTCACAGAGGTCTGCCTGCCTCTGCTTTCCAAGTGCTGGGATTAAAGGTGCTGCGAACCACCAAAAAAAAAAAAAAAAAAAAAAAAGAAAGAAAGACCAGAATGGAGGATAAGAAGGAAATTGAAGGTCCCCTACCTAAGTACTACCTAGTTGTAGAAGCTGTGGGTTCCTGCTAGAGAGAGTCTGTGGGTCAGAACAGTCAGAAAGGAATGCAGATAGAATAGAAGGAACACTGAAAGGGACAACAGGAAGAACTACGGGCACACTGAGTCTGCACCAAGAGCCAAACTGGACTTTTTGTTACATTGTACATTAATTTGTAAGATGTTTAAAATCACCTATATTACTGATGAGTACTATCCTGTTATGGAAAAGGCCTGAATGAAGAAGTTATGAATATAAATTAAATAAACCCAAGGGAAATGAAGACCGTTAATGGTACAGATATAGCAGCTACTAAACCACAGTCTATATTCTCTAGGGCTGCAAAGGATCTTGGGAACTAGCATATCTAGGAGTGGGCAATTATTCTAAGAGGTAGTTTGTACATACTGATGTACAAGGCAGGGCCCCAACATCTGTGTCTCAGCAATCCAGAATCCCCCATGAAATGTCACAAGAGCCATTTCTTATCACAAGAACCCTGTCATTTTACTGCAACTATAGCCAAAGACCCAGTCAAGACTCCTGAACCATTACAGAACCACAGAGAATTATCTGACTGACCTGGCTGGTTTTATGACAAATTAACACAAGCTACAGTCTTTAGAGAGGAAGGGGCCTCAGTTGTGGAAGCACCTCATAGGATCAGAGTTTAAGTGAATGATTAAAATTAATACAAGTTAAAAAATATGTATTCCATTTTTCTTACATAATTAAACATTTTACATATTGCAAATGAAAAAAACTGTTCCAAAGCACCCATATACAATTAAACATTTATTTAGAATTCTCATAGATCAGGAGCCTTTCAGCCATAGCTGCTTAGAATTACCAGAAAAAGAGGTTACTAGTTTCACTTTTTATGTTTTAGAGTTCTGCCCAGTTATCTTAACTAACCATCTACATCTTTGTTTTCTATTTGCATGAAGAATTATTTAAAGCTTTGTTTTGTCTACAATGTACACCAAAATCTGTGAACACATTTCCCAATATCCAAAAGAACTTTAGCTAATTCTTGGACTGTACAATTTTCTTTAATCATTAACCTAAGCCACTCTCTATACAATTCCTCAGGAAAAACCCATATGTCCTAGCTACATGACACTTCCTTGTTCCTATTTTCTATCCTCTGCAGCCCCTGATATATCAGGGTGGAAACAAAACTATATCCTACTTTTACATATATTAATTTTCCCAGTAAACTATCCTGTATCATAATCCCTTACTACATTTGGTAAGAACATTAATTATAAAAATATATTTAAACTACAACTATTATTGTATAAAATCATTACTTCAGTTAAACAGTACAGGTTAAGAGGGAAAACACCCAGTAGAACAGAATATTTCTGTAAGATAATCACATTATGTTAAAGGCAGTGCACTATCCCCACCCCCATTCACAACATGTCAGATACCAGAGAAAAATAACAGCAGTAAACACATAAAGGCACAGCAGCAGCAAGAGACATTGTGAAGCTGAAGCTTTCAGGGTCCTAACTATCCAAAATTCACCCATCAGTGTCTTGCATTCTGATAGGATGAACTCCTGGAATTCAAGTGTGATCTGCTGCTCCTCTGGCATGACCACCAACAAAGTATTAACTTCCTTTTAAATGTCATATTAATCCAAAGAAGTGGAAGAGCAATTTAAAAAGTTTCTTTTTCCAAAAAGGTAATAACTGCAAATAGGTAATTGATAAGAAGGCAATCATTATACAAACGAAGGCCACATGATTCTTCCAGAAGCCCCATGATGAGAGATCGATGCCCTGGATCATCAAGAATTCATCACCAGTACATCTGTAATTCAACACACATGAAAATAATGTCAAAGCTTATTCAGTACATTCACTGTTACTTTCATTTAAAAACACAGTTTCAACACATTGTTAAAAAATTCATCTTTATATTTAATTTGTAATAGTACCGATAGTATTCATAGTTTCAACCCACCATTAAAAGTTTCTTTTTATATTTAATTAATATCAGTAGTGATGTACTTACAACTTTTATGTGTCAGTCTATACTACTTGAATGAGCTCCCTTTGTTAATTTCTAAAACCATCTGAAGAGGTGTAGCTATCATATCATCTATATCATATCATCTATTTAAAAGCATAGAAGAAGTAGGCTTAATAAACTTGGGTGAGTTCAGAGAGTCACACTAAGATCCAATGTTGTAGTCTTCACCATGTCATTCATTTCTAAATCTACAGTGCTGCTCTCTTCAAAGGGGAAAGGCATGGATCAAGTACTTGCTTTTTCCAAAATGGAAAACCTCAGTTTCCTAATGACACACACAGGCACACACTCTAAGAGATCTAAGGTTTTCTTTTTCTTTTGTTATTCTGCTGTCTCAGTACACAGTCATGCAAAAGAACACAGCACCAAATCCTAGCCTGTGGAACAGAGGAGCCCAAGGGTTTCTGAGAGGAGTCAGTCAATTGCTGTCTGATCCTGTATTAAGAATGAGTGAAAACAATGCATGCTCAGATATGGAATATCCCCCATGTGCCCATGGTTACAAACAGAGCCTGGGTAATATTTGGAGCACAACAAGATGCAGGGGCCAGGTTAGAAAAGCAGCTGCTTTTTAAATTCTGAATACACTACAATTACTGCGTGTTTATTCCCATCCCTGTGTGTCTCCATCTCTGTGTCACTCCATACTGTGTGTCTCTATCTCCATGAGTCTCTAAACCTGTATGTTTCCATCCCTCGTGTATCCATTCCCTTGTATCTCTTAGGATTTAATAGTTCCTGAATCCACTGAAAGGGCAATTTTCTTCTTCCTCTTGTAAGACAATCCTTTTGTGAGTATGAGGTCTGTGGATGGCCCTCCTCTGGTTTCACTTTACCCAGGCCCATCCTTCTGCCAAGAAACTGATAAGAAATTTTTATTAGAAGGATGCCAGACCACACCAAAAGAAAGGAGATAAGGCAAATGAGATATCACCCATACTTTTTTCCTGTAATTCAAACATAATTTCTGTTACTATTATTCATTATTGTTTTTAACATTTATGGGTGATTTCAGATATCAGCATGTTTCTCTCATGGTTTGTGGGGTCCTTCTGTCTATGTGTTGGTTTTATTGGTTAATGAATAAATTCCTTTGCCTGTTGATAGGGCAGAGCTTAGGTAGGTGGGGAAAACTGGAATGAATTCTGGAGAAGGAAGCCAGAGGGAGGGATATATGGAGCTGCCACCAGAGTCAGACATGCTGAAACTTTGCCGGTAAGCCACTGCCTTGTGGCGATACACAGATTAATGGAGATGAGTTAAATTAATATGTAAGAGTTAGCCAATAAGAAGCTAGAGATAATGGGCCAAGCAGTGATTTAAATAATATAGTTTCTGTGTGATTATTTCGGGTCTAAGTTAGCCGGGTGGCCAAGAGAAACAAGTGACCCTTCCTCCAACTGGCACGCAACATGGGGGACTAAATCCATGTAAAACCTGCCAAGATTCTCTCATTTATTTATCAAAATAAAATCAATGAAAACAATCATGGAAAGGGAAGGTATTGTAACTCTAAAACAATACACTTTGATTTTATTAAAAATCTTTTTTTCTATTTTAATGGAATTAGACAAAAAGTGATATTTTCTTCTCAACACACTTAAATATGTTCTTCTTTCATTGCAGGATATATCCTCTTATCCTCTGAGAGGATATTTTACACACAAACATACATACACACCAGTCTTTGCTTTTTTAAAGTCTTCCAGAGTATGGGGCAAAGGAAATACGTCAAATGCTGGCAGGCAATGCTCAGTTTTTTGGGCCCTTGCTGCCCTGACATTTTCAGGGTCTGCTCACAGGTACCATAATCTATACATGTGGAAACTATATGCCATTGTAAACTATCAGAGCAGCCAATTTCCAACACAAATGTTCTGAAACAACTCAAATCCACAATTAAGACACCAAAACCATTTTTTAAACCTTACAAAAAACCCTTTCTACCCATCATCTACACCAAGGAGCAGTAGGATGAGAATTTCCTCAGTAGCCTTGAACCCACTGGCAGAGGTGACCACTTCTTAAATATAATACCAGTAGCACAGACATTGAGAGCAACAATCAATAAATGGGACCTCTTGAAATAGAAAACTTCTGTAGGGCAAAGAACACAATAAATAAGACAAAACAATAGCCTACAGAATCGCGAAATACCTTCACCAACACCATTATCTGATATAGTGCTCATCTCTAAAATTTTAAAGAATTCAAGAAACTAGGCCTCAAGATACTACATAAACCAATTTAAAAATGGGGCACAGATCTAAACAGAGAATTCTCAATAGAAGACTCGCAAATGACTGAAAAAATATTTAAGGAATTACTCAACATCTTTAGTCATCAAGGAAGTGTAAATCACATAAATGATTTTTAGATACCATCTTACATCTCTCAGAATGGCTAAGATCAAAAGCACTGAGGAAAGCTTATGTTGGAGAGGATGTGGAGTAAGGGGAACACTCTTCCACTGCTTGTGGAAATGCAAACTTGTACAGCCACTTTGGAAATCACTATGGTAACTTCTCAGAAAATTGGAAATCAATCTACCTCAAGACCTACCAATACCATTCTTGCACATATACCAAAGATATGCCCAATGATACCACAAGGAAATTTGCTCAGCATTATTTGTAATATCCAAGACCTGGAAACAACCTAGAGGCCCTTCAACCAAAGAATGGATAATGAAAATGTGGTACATTTATATAATAGAGTATTACTGAGCTGTAAAAAACAATGACATTATGAAATTTGCAGGCAAATGAATGGAACTAGTAAAACTCATCCTGAGTGAGGTAAACCATACCCAGAAAGTCGAACATAGTATGTACCACTCATAAGTTGGTAGCCAACTACAACCCACAGCTCTAGAGAGCAGCTAGGTAACATGTAAGACCCTAAGTGGGATGCATGGATCAACCTGGGAAGGGGAAATAAATGAGATCTCCTGGGTAAACTGGGAAGAAGGGAGGAGTAAAAAGGGGAGGGGATTGGGAGGTGAGAATATGAGGGACTGGGATGGCTGAAGAGCATTCTATGTCCCCATTGTGAAACTGAACTCAAGCTTACATTACTTGGTTTTGACATCTACTGACTTCTGCTGTGTTATATTCTGGACAAAAATTTTGTCCCAGAAATTCACTTTGTTGCAAAGCCTGTAACACAAACAGGAACAAGAAAAAGAAAATAGTTTAATATTTTATACCTTTACAAAGAATAAACAGAGCTATAACTTCAAGTTCAATCTTGACTATAATTTCCAAAAATATTTTTAAACAAACAAAACCCCACCCAGTTATGTCTGCCCAGCAAAGCAGTGCCCCTTCCTCACATTTAGGAGGTTTAGGATTGAAATGATGGGATTTGCCAACTACTAAGTAGTGGACTCTCACACTAGACTACTCCAGGCTCTTCCTTCTCTGCCCAGTTCATAACTGCATAAACACTCTAATTAAAATAATACTATTGATTTGTAGTAATATTATTTCTTGTTTGTTTTCATCAAAACCAGTTGTGATTATTGGAATAAGAAAGTCTCTAAAGACACACTTTACTGCAAATAAAGTTTGGCAAAGCCAATGTGATTCTGATTATCATGTGATTTTTATTTCTTTTAATTTCTTGATATAAACTATATATCTTATTTTATATATGCTTATATGTCCTTTCATTATTTCCTTACTGAGTAGAATCAAAACTTTATGTTTTTTATTATATCATCTACCTTTCCCCTTCACTCTGGGATTCTTCTCACCCTTTATTTGCCTCAAATAACATGTGACTGGGGGAAACCCGAGATGACTTACTGACCTTTGGCTAAAACCAACAAGAAAATTCTCCTTGGAAGAAAATCCTGGGTAGCAGCTGATTAGAGATTACAGTTGAGGAAAGGACTAGGTTGGGAATCATTTCAGTTGCTACAGTTGGAGAACCCAAGTACAGTGACAGACAGGACAACTTACTGTAAATCCATAATGCGGAATGTTAATGTACTGAATATATGAGAGCCCAGGTAGTAAACTTCCAGAATAGAGTGACAGACCTGAGAAAAACTGTGAAGGGCAAAACAATGAATTAGAACCAATACAGTTACCAAGAATTCTAGACAAGATCCTCTTTCTTCAAGACCTCCTCATCCTTCTGATTATTTCTGCTAAGATCAGCTCTTTAAAACTTTCTTTCAGTTAATTCTAAACAGAATTCTTCACTCTTTGCAAAGCCAAGGCTCTTTGTGGGTTTTAGAAGAAGGACCTGCCACCTCTCTGTAGGAGCCAAACCAACAAATATTATGTTATCACTAAAATAACATGTAACCCATGAATATTCTTCAAACTTAAAATACAACCACCCAACATATTTGAAATCCTCACTAGACTCCTTATAATACCTAATTTATATAGCTATATAGTTTATACTCATAATTTAGGGAATGGCAGTATTCAGAGCAAAAGAATCATTTGTTTCGTATATTTTCAACATGTGATTGGCTGAATCTTTGACAACGTGACAGGCCAACTGTAGTGTCTATTTTAGTAAAACTGTGGCTATCTAGGAAGCTGTGCAAGAAGACATTTTATTGGCTTGTTTTATATCAATTTGACACAAGCTAAATTCACTGGTGGGTAGGGAACCTCAATTAAGAAAATGTTTCTCAGGAGAAGCTCGTTCCTGCCTCAACTTGATGTGCCGTGCTTTGTTCAAGCCCATGGGAGGCCTGCTCCTTTCTGAATGGAGACAGAGGAGAAGTGAATGGGGAGGGGATAGATGGGAGTCTTGGGGGGTGGGTAACAGGAGGAGAGAAGGGAGAGGAAACTGGTCAGTATGAAAAATAAATTAAAAAGTGTTAATTAAATAAAATTAAATTTAGAAAATAGAAAATGTCTTTATAAGATCATGTTCAAGGAAGCCATAGGGCATTTTCTTAATCAGCATTTGAGGTAAAAGGCCCCGTCCAATTGTGTGCGTTATCATCCTTGGTCTGGGCATCCTAGGTTCTAAAAGAAAACAGGCTGAGTGAGGCATTAGAATAAGCCCTTAAACAGCACCCTTCCATTGGCTCTGCATCAGCTACTGTCTCCAGGATCCTGAATGTGTGACTTCTGATTCTGACTTCCTTCAGTGATAAACAGTAATATGGAAGTGTAAGCCAAATAAACCATTTTCTCCCTAAGTTGTTTGATCAGGGTGCATCATCACAGCAATAGAAACCCTAGGCAGCACGAATACTGAACATCATATACCAACTTCTACTTCCAAGGATCAATAAGTCTTGCTATGTCTAAGAGTTTTGACTCTCCTTTCCTGACTTTAGGAGTAATTTTAGATTCATTTAAAATACCATTTTAAGACAACTTCAAGCCTAGGACTGACAAACCATACATGTGGTGAAGAGCAGCAGAAACAGTGTGCAACCCCCCATTTTAAAATATAGATCACAGAACCACACAGAGATGGCAGAAAGCACTGATGGCGATGAACAAGGGACAGCTCTGAAGTTCACATAAAACTTGTTCTGTCCCCTCTTATGTACACTAGAACATGCAAAACAATGACTGTGTTTGCGTGCATTCAGACTGCACCTGGCCAAACGCTTGGACAAAAAATACATTTGGCTTTATAACTGGTTTTTAAAGTTCCATATAAAAACTTTATATAATAACCACCTGTCTTAGTTCCTTTCCTGTGGCTGTGATAAAACACCATGACAAACAGAGAAAAGTCATGAAATTTCTAAGTACACATTACAAACATAATGGGAAACAAATAAGGGAAACACTCTCAAGCACAAAATAATCAAAGAAGTAGGGGAAATGAGGAGTCTTGGAATAAATCTAACCAAATGAAACACTTGTACAATAAAATATTAAGACCTTGGAAAAAAGAAATTGAAGATATTAGAAGATAGACAGACCTCCCTTAAAGATTGGTAGGATAAATACGAAAATATCCAATCAATAGATTCAATGCAATCCTCATCAAAATTCTAATACAATCAAAAAATTGAAAAACAATGCTAAATTTCACATGGAAATACAAAAAGACTCAAATTAGCACAATTCTGAACAATAAAACTGCTAGAGGTGACATCATCCATTGGAGCTATCACCACCCACCGATGAGAGAATCTACCCCCTGTTGTGTGAGGAATAATATCATTCATTGGAGCTATCACCAGCCATTTGTGAGAGAATCCATCTCCTGTCCTGTGAGGAATAACTCATTCTCTCTGTTGGTAAGATGCTTTCAGTGGGCCTGCCTGCACATGTGGGAACAAGAACAGACTCTGGGAAACTTGACAACCATGTAGCCTTCTCTCATAAGGACAACATACCATTCGCTCAGGTAGGACCAGAGTCCCACCCAAAGGAAAGAACACTTGAGCCTGGGGATGTTCTGCTGCACAGGTATAGCCATTACTCCTTGGGCACATGTGCTGTACAGATTACCCAAGTATTCAGCTGTCTACATCAGTTTTATAAGTGCAGTGAGCAAAAGTAAAAACAAATGTTCTTTAGGTAATGAATTATTCTTAGATTCCTTTTGAGAATTAATTTTAAAGACTTCCTGGATGATCCAAAGGGGACAATTTGGGACAAATGTACTTGTTCTTTTGGGACCGAGAGAGCACACAAAATGAGGACAGACCATCATAGTCTGTTAAACCAGAAGCAAACTTTATTCAGCAAAGAAAAATTAAAAAATCACACAGGACACAAAAGTTTACCAGTTAACTAGGATCACAGCCAGAGTTTGGGCTGCAACTGTGGCAATGGGGCTGGTTTTATGCCTCCTCTTATTGTAAAATCAAGTACCAGGTTTGGGTCAAAGAGCTCTTACAACTTTGAGGTCAGGCTTAAAGTCACATTACATTTTAAGTTTTAAAATTTTTGTTTATAGGATGTTAGGATGTAAACTTTGGATGTTAGTGAAAGCCTGTGCTGACACAGCTGCTTTTCACTGTCCCCGAAAGAATGTAAGGCAGAGAGTAGAGCCCCATAGGGGGACAGTTAAAAATTAAGGGGATACAATGCAGAAGCAATAGCTGGAAGCTAACTTTTGTTTACTGTACCTGATTAACTGGGACACTGGGAGGCAGGAGACAATTGTTAAAACTTTGCCTCTATACACAGTAGCTTCCAGGATGTGTGTTCTTAAGTTAGAAAGTGTTAAAGGTTAACAGTGGCTGTCAGCTTTATATTTTCTTCCAAAATGTGTTTGGGCTTACAACTTTATAATTCTATATTCCGGGACCCTTTATTTCTATATTCTGTTCCTGGACTCTTCAATCCATCCAAGAAAACATTCTGTTTTTTTGTAGGTTTATTTGTTTTGTTTCCTCGGGTCTTTCTTTGTTTTCTTTTTTCTTTTATTTTTATTAATTTTTTTATTAAAAATTTTTGCCTCCTCCCTGCCTCCCTTTTCCCTCCCCCTACTCCCCACACCCCACTCCCCTCCCCCTCCCTCTCCAGTCCAAAGAGCAGTCAGGGTTCCCTGCCCTGTGGGCAGCCCAAGGTCCTCCCCCCTCCATCCAGGTCTAGGAAGGTGAGCACAGTTATCCTCCTGGATATTGGAAGTAGACAAGATTGCTGGGCAAAAATTTCTTTGTATTCTTACTTATCAAACTGAACTGTTAGTAGAAAAACTGATTTAGTTATATTAACACATTTTAAATATCATTTTAAAAATAATAAACAAGACTTTGAAATCTTAATTTTAAAGGTTTTCCTTGTACTGATATTGTTCTTTTCTCCTAGGCAAGGATGGCAGTAGGCTTTCACTTGGGTGTGATGTATATCTCCTTTTTAACTTTCTCAACTGTGACCTTGGTTAACATCACAGGAAAGGGGCCTCCTAGGTCTGTTTCAATTTGTTTTTCATTTTGTTTTGTTTTTTTTCCTTTTAGCAGTATTTGTTCCCCAAGCAGGAAAACACAGGCTGGAAATTCTAGTGGAAGAATCTAGGTGAAAACTTCATAACCTAAGAGAAAGCAAAGTGGAGGAGAGATCCTCAACACAGTTGATGAAAAATTGACTTTAGTTTCCCTGGTATGAATGCCTATGGACTCCCCAAGATAGGAGCCATATAATCTTCATGTGGAGAGAGGCCCCAGTCCTTCTGACAGCAACTTTAATCTTAAACAAATCTATGTAGTTTTGAGTTACTCTAAGATAGTTTTTATTACACCAACATCAGCATGGGGAAGGGAAGAGGCCTCTATACATCAGAAGAGGAGGTAAACTCCTACCAGTGTATATTAAAATTCTCTTACTTTGTCATTGGTTTCTTGGTATTTGTGGAATTTCATCAGGATAGCTAAACCAACAAAAGCCAATATGTTTCACAGACTCTAGGGAGACTTCCAGAGGAGACAGTTGAAAATCATAATAATCTGTATACTCCTTTTGAAACTTCCTCATATATATTCTCCTATAAACTTACTCTGTTGTGCACCCATATTATCCCCCTTAAATATATAATCACATGTGAGAAGAAAAAAAGAGAGAAGGCACACAGGCTTGTCCATCTTATTTATATGGACACATTCAGTCATTTAAAACCCATTGTCTGAAACACAATTAATAAAACTCAGAGACTGAAATTGGGGTTCAATCTAAACACCCAAAAAGCAAAATATCCAGTCACTGGCTCTTACATTGACCTTAGTCAAAAATGGAGATCCTGCCTCCAGGAATCTCAGAATGAGAGTGTATTTGAGAGCTGTTTCCTCCTGTTTTATAATCCTCTCTAGTACTGGGATTAAAGGCATGCAGCACTGTGATTAAAGCCATGCACCATCCAGTTTCTAAGGCAAACTAGTTTGGCTACTGAAATTAAAGGTGTGTGTCACCACTGCCTGGTCTGTGAAGCTGTTCAGTGGGGCTGTTTTACTCTCAGATATACAGGCAAGCTTTATTTATTAAATGAAATGTCACTGTATTTCCCCTTTTTGTCTAAAATAAAAAAGGCCATGACTAATGTCAGAAAACTATATACAATAAGTACAATGACTATATATATAATATATGCAAGCAATAAATACATCAACAATATCTAGTCCATTTGCATTTGACAAATTCAGAGAATATATTCAATGTCTATCCTTTTTGGTGAGTCCAAAGTATTATACATAATTTACTTTCTATCATAATTTGCTTTCTACATCTGGTAACTACAACTATAACTATCTGTTCTTCAACTCCTTCAGAGACCCAAGAAAAAAATAATACTAATCGAGTAAGCAGGAAGTGCAAGGAAATGACTTCCAAAAAAATAAGAGGATTGACAAAAACAGCATCTGGCTTCCTGGAGAGTCAACCAAGGTTTTTCTGCAATGTTTGGGTATCCATCGTTGGTCTACAGGCTAAGCATATCTGACAAACTTTTCTGTGGAGCAGGATATTCTGTGTCCTGCTTATTTAATTAGGATAGAATGCTGTCAGCAGTTGAGGCAGGGGCATTTTCTTGCCTAATGGCTTACTTTTGCCACAAAGAAAGAAAATTCCATGTGGAGTTTCTTCGATGCCCATTATCTTCTCTGAAGTAGAGTGGTGTTGCCAGGAGCAGATATGTCTTGTTGTCATAAAAAAGAAGAACCCGGGTTTTTAAAACATCTTAAATGTCATATTCTGTAGATCTCTGATGTGTTTGAAGATAACCTGTCTATTTAAAATATATCTGTTTGACCTTGAAAACATACCTAATGTGACTATAAGTTCGATTATAGTAGGTGACTAATTACTAACCTCATTTCATTATTATCCAAAACATTTGGTAATAATAATTTTCAAGGGCTAAAAATTTGCATTACATGGTTAAATGAGCTGTAAAGGTACAATATGTTGAGCAAGGTTAGAAATGTATATACAGTATATTTTAACAAAATTAATCTCAAATTTGCATCAATATATAAAATTTGTCTACAATATACAAAGTCCAATCCAATGTAAAACATTTAAAAGTAATGGTTGCTTTTTAAAAATAGATTCAATAATCTACCTTACTGTTATTCTTATAAGTGGATATGTTATTAAACTGACCTCTAATGAGTTGTTGTGACACCCTTAGATTATTGGACCTCAGACCATCATCAGAAAAGCTTCCTTTTGCAGGAAACAGTGATTAACACAGACCCACCACAGGCCAACATACAAAGAGAGACTGCAGGGGATCCAGCCCTGATTTAGACATATGTATTTCACACCCCTCCCCCCAAGGATCAAGGATCATGAAAGAGGGGTGAGAGAGATTGTAAGAGTCAGAGACTTTGAACAACTAAAGCAAGATAGTGTTTTCCTGCCACAATTGGACAGTGCCATTTATGAATACAGAGCAGTTGACAACGTGGGTAAGATCAAGCCAGACAAAAATCCCTGCATGGAGAGGAGAAGTAGACATGAACTCCTATCTCTACCTGAGGAGCTATTGGAAGTTGATGGCTGCTGAGAGGAGGAAAGCCATTTTTCTTTAAAGATGTGTTTTCTGAGATTCTACTCATGCTCCAGTAAATGGCCCAAAATGCAGGTACATATAGGCACAGCTAAGCAGACACAATGCATTTACAAAAAGCAAAATAAAGAATGATCCAGGGATGGGGAAATGGCAAGAGTGACCAGAAATATAGTAGTTACTTTTCTGGTGTTGTGACACAATACCGTGATGAAGACAACTTGTAGAAAAGAGAGTTCTTTTTGCCTTGGGTTTCCAAAGTGATAAGAAGCCATCTTGACAAAGAGGTATAGCAGCAGGCAGCAGGCAGCAGGCAGCAGGCAGCAGGCAGCAGGCAAGAAAGTTGGAGAGGAAGCTGAATGTTCCCATCTTCACATGAAGGTGGGGGAAGGAGTAGGGAACAAAACCCGCCCCTCACCCAGGGACAGACTTTTACCTTCAAGTCTTTACCCGACTTGAGTCCAGAACCTCTCCAATAACAGTACCTACAGCAAACCAAGTGTTCAAGTCTCTGAGACTTAGGGAACATTTCTCATTCTAAATTCCACAGGGAAGAATTTGGGAGGGAGAACATGAAGTGGACTTCATCTAAAGACTTTATTTAAGAATCTCTAAAGCAAAAAAATAATTAATAACATATTTTTTGAAGATTTACATTACTGGATGGCTATATACTTATATGGCCATTTAATAAGAATAAAAACAAAAATTAGCATATTCTCAATGACATGCATCTTCCATTGCCAAGCTACAGCATGCTTCTGCACTAGCAGAAAGGATATGAACATTAGTACATTCTATTTACTTGGTATGCTTTATGGGAAAATGTGGGATCTGGCTCCATTTATTGGTTGATCGATTTACATTAAGTGTGCAATATATGGGCAAAAAAGACTAAGACTGAGTAACCATGAGCAGAACCATGAGCAGTAACCATGATAGATGAGCAAAAGTATGTGAATATTGGAGACTGATTAGTACTTAGAAGTCTGGGATCTCCTACTGCTCCTATCACTTTTCACAACCCAAGTGAACCCTGAGATAGGCTCCTTGTGCTGAGCACTTACACTGATCATTGTCGTAGATTATTTCAAAATGTGTTACATTTGCTTATGCTGTAGGACATTTGCTTAATGATGCAAAAATGTGCTGCATTCTTTTATGTTGCATTTGTTTAACTCTGTGAAGCTGTGATTCTTTGCCTGTGTAAAACACATGATTGGACTAACATAGAGTGGAATGGCCAATAGCTTGGCAAGAAAGGATAGGCAGAGCTTACAGGCAGAGAGAATAAATGGGAGGTGAAATCTGAGAAGATGGAGAAGCATGGAAAGAAGTTGAGGATGCTAGAGGCCAGCCACCCAATCACCCAGTCACACAGCAAACCATGGAGTTATAGTGAAAGTAGATACACAGAAGTAAGAAATAAAAAAGTAAATGGTAGAAGGGGTACTTTAAAGAAATGATGGCTAGAGACAAGTCAAACAAAGATCAGGCATTTCTAAGTAATAATACAAATCAGTGTGTTTTTTTTTCGGAGCTGGGTGCTGGGCCACCAAAACAGCGAAGAGTAAAGAATAGAAAACAACCATGGCCTTTGCTTTGTCATTAGAGACTAATAAACCAAATCACCTCTTCTATGCTTAAAACAACATGCAAGTCTCTCACAAGCGTATGTAAAGCAGGCTGCAGTCTGTCTTGTTGTGGGGAAAGCAGTTAATCACACTATTTCCTTCACATTCCAATTTACTATGGTTTTGTAATATGATCCCAAGAAATGTCTGTTAAGAACTCCCTAGAAAGGGTGTGTTAACTACACCATAGGACTGACATCAGAGCAGCAGCCATAAAGCCTAGGGAAAAAGGTGGCTCTTTACCTCCTACAGACCATAATACGCTTTAGCATAAGTCTTCTGATGTGTCAATCATGTACATGCTCTAGAAGGAACACAAGGAAAATTTTACCCTTAGTAAAACACAATTCACACTCACCAGCATGAAAACAAAGTAGATGGCCACAATTACTGTTGGTAGTGCTGTTGTATTCTCCCCTGCTCCTATAGACAGGGGCAGGGAACTGGTAGTATATGCCAACATCATGATGGTAAATAACATAGTGAAGAAACCCTTCACACCTGATTTTACTCCTTAGAAAGAAGAAAGCAGGGTCAGTTCATCTACCTAAGTCAAGAGAATTCTACATATCTAAAATAATACTTTAATAATAAATGAGACTAGTGGCAGTTTCATGATGGGATAATAGACAAATATATTGGTATAGATTCTTGTATATTGATACAAAGTTAAATTATATTGACTATTGTACGCATGCATGTTTCTACCTCTGTTTAAAACATTTTTATGTATTGACATATATTGTATTGATATATATATATATTGTATATATTTACCATATTGCAGTGTACATTTCTACCTCTGATTAAGATACTTATATAATATTTGTGTATTGATATATATTTACCTACTGTAATGTATATTTGTACATTGTTTATATTTGGAGGTCATTGTCCTCATTTGTTTCACAGTCGTTTATTGTCTTAGTCTTTAAGTTAGATATTGAGAATTATATAGACTAGTTGTCATCTAAGTTTGTCATTTATAATTAGACTAATCAGGTTCTTTAGATATATAGAGATTATACTCAGTATAGATAGATAATCTTCAACCTCTTCAAAGAGCTGTAGAAAATGGCCTTTAATCTAACTCAGAGTTTCGTGATAGTGAGACACAATTGCTCCTGGCAACACCACTCTGCTCCCGAGAGAGCTGTGGAGTCTCTGAGCTCACTTCCTCTTCCTCCCAGCGTTCTGTTCTGTTTACTCCTCCCACCTATCCTCTAACCAATAAAATGGGCCAGGGCAGTTCCTTTATTAGCCAATGACCTTCCTCCATCAGTTTCACAGCCAACCAACTTCTCTGGGTCTCCACCTGCCACCTGGTCATGTGAATACTGTGAGCCAAATTTGGGTACTTTGGAGGACTAGCAAGTACTCTTAACCAATGATCTTCTCTCCAGCGCCATCAAATGGCTTTATTTTTATACTTGTCACAAAAATACCTTACCATACAATACCTGTTCTCCTCTATATATAATTATGAGCAATTTACAGGATCCAGACAGGAAGAGTTACAGGAAACTGGCTAAAATATTAGCACATTCTCTCACAGGAGAATCAGCAATAGAACATGTTCATGTCTACTCTCCCCTGCATTTATTATAACTATATTAGTAATGAAATTGGGATTAGGACTGTGCCAGTTAGCTTTATGGAAATTTAACACAGGCTAGGGTCATTTAGTCATTCAACTAAGAAAATATTTCCATTAGATTGATCTGTAGGCAAATCAGCGGGGCCTTTTCTTGATGAATGATTTATCTAGGAAGTCTTCAACAACTGTGGATGAAACCATCTTTAGGCAGGTAGTCTTAGATTCTATAAGAAATCAGGCTGAGGAAGCCATTAGGATCAGGCCAGTAAGTAGCACCCTCCATGGCCTCTGCTTCACCTCCTATCTCCAGGTTTCTGTCATGAGTTCCTGCTCCGACTTCCTACTGGTGACCCTCTCAGAGGAACAGCAGGTGTCAAATGAAGTTCAAGGTGTCAGAGCACCAGGAGGCAATTCCCTGATAGGCAAGGCACTGAGACAACAGACCCCAGAATGTCTTTTGCTTCTTTTGTGCCTTTGCATGTTTGCCACTGCTATCCTTCTCTAATCTGGCATGGTGAGAATGGGTGTGGGAGATCTCCACTCCCCGTAAAGTAATGTGTTTCTCTCATGGAAACATACTGTTCTACTGGGCATTTTCACCTGTGAATTATTATGAAGATGATTCTTTCCTAAGATATACTGTCTAACTGATAATAATAATAATAATGTTATTTTAAACAGAGTTTTGATGAATAAAAATAAATACAAGGTAATGTCACACAGCAATAGCCTATGAGGTTCACATAAGAAGCTGTATAGGTGGAAGTTCAAGTTAATGATTAAGAAAAACAATTGAATCACCAGGAACCAGAATGACTCTAATTCTCTTAATGCTGAATGTCTCAGTCACAGGTTTTGGTGTACATTATTAGCTGAAATAAAGCCTTACAATAACTTCAGGTTAAATCAGGTGTTTTGATAAGAGCTTTGAGATCAAAAACCCCAGGAAACAATCTAAACTTCACAAGAACACTTCACAAGAATATCTGAGTTATAGATTCATTTGGTTAGGTCAAAAATACAAGGCAGCCCAATTTTTTTTTCTTTTTTTATTGAGGAAAGGAGAAAAAAAAAACAAGTTTCCACCTCCTCCCACCCTACGCCCCCTCCTCCCACCCTTCTCCCCCTCCCCCCACTCCTCTCCCCCTCCCTCTCCAGTCCAAAGAGCAGTCAGGGTTTTCTGCCCTGTGGTAAGACCTAGGACCTCCCACCTCCGTCCATATCTAGGAAGGTGAACATCCAAACTGGCTGGGCTCCCACAAAGCCATCACATTACGTAGGATCAAACCCCCGTGCCATTGTCCTTTGCGTCTCATCAGCCCTCATAGTTCGCCATGTTCAGAGAGTCCAGTTTTATCCCATGCCTTTTCAGTCACAGTCCAGCTGGTCTTGGTGAGCTCTCAATAGATCAGCTCCACTGTCTCAGTGGGTGGGTGCATCCCTCGTGGTCCCGACTTCTTTGCTCATGTTCTCCCTCCTTCTGCTCCTCATTGGGACTTTGGGAGCTCAGTCCAGTGCTCCAGTGTGGGTCTCTGTCTCTATCTCCATCCATCACCAGATGAAGGTTCTATGATGATATGCAAGATATTCGTCAGTATTGCTCAAGGATAGGGTCATTTCAGGTTCCCTATTCTCAACTGCCCAAGGAACTAACTGGGGACCTCAGCTTGGGCACCTGGGAGCCCCTCTAGGGTCAGGTCTCTTGCCAACCCTAAAGTGGTTCCCTTAACTAAGAATTGTGGTTCCGTGCTCCCCTGTCCAACCTTCCTTTATCCCAATCCTCCTGCTTTCCCAAGGCCCGACCTCCTTCCCTTCTAACTTTTCTCTCCCCATCTCCCCTGACCCCCAAGGCAGCCCAATTTTTGCTAGCTGATGTACTTTCCTTGCTAGGTTTGGTTGGTGATCAAAGATGATGATTAATTCCTTGTGCCCACTTTGCCCTTCATCTCCTGATATAAGAAACTGTTGCTTAGTGGGTAAGCACCCCAAAGATTTAAAGTACAATTTACTGACTCTTTTTTACATATAAAAGATTAGGTTTATGATTCCTTTAAGATTCCTTATAAAATTAACTTTCAAAACAAGTAAAAAAGTAATTGACTCTTTTTTTGTAACTGCAAAATGAAGCCTACTATAAAAGACCTGACTGAGAAAAATATGTTGCTTGCCTATACAGATAACAAGTTGCTAGAGCATGAGTGTGTATGAGTTTTTGGAATAATTTGTTTTTCACTTGCAATATGTAAAATGTTTAATCATGTGAGGGATATGAACAACATGCTGGGGTTTCTTTACTCTTTGTTTTAACTTTCATTGTAATCATTCACTTAAAAAAACAGATGTAACCACAGTGTAATTTTGATATTGACTGAAAGATTTTGCTGATGTGTATAAGCTGTAAGAAAAAGAACAACGATAGCCTATAAGGAAAACATCAAGAATGAGAGAGTTTATTTCTTCCAATTCTTTGTCTGTTCCTCTATTTCTTTAGGAAAATTTTTCATTTCCTCTTTAAGAGCCTCTATCATCTTCATAAAGCTATTTTTAAGGTCATTGTCTTCTTCATCTTTGTTGGGATATTTAGTCTTGCTGATGTAGAAACAGTAGATTCTGGTGGTGCCATATTGCTGTTTATGTTGTTGAATATATTCTTATACTGCCACAAACCCATCTGGATTTGGGGTAATTATAGGAACAGAAATTGATTATTCCTCTAATTGGTCCAAGTGGTTTCTGTGCCCCTCCAATTATAATAATGCATTGGCTGGTGGCGGAGTGACATGGATTCAGTAGTCTTGCCTGCAGGCTGACTGTTGGGGCTCTTCCTTTATTTGGTGCAGCAGTCATGGAAAAGGCAAACAAAAAAAAATTTGAATAAATAAAAAAAAACAAGAAAAAAGCAATCAAATAGGTGAAAAACATAGTTCAAGACTTGAAAATTAAAATAGAGACAATAAAGAAAACACAAACCAAGGGAGTTCTGGAAATGGTAAACCTGGGTAAATGAACAGAACCCACAGATGCAAGCATAACCAACAGAACAAAAGAGTTGGAAAAGAGAATCTCAAGTGTTGAAGATACAATATAGAAAATGGATTCATCGGTCAAAGGAAATGTCAAATCCAATAAATTTCTGACACCTGGAAATCTGAGACACGCTGAAAAGACCAAATATAAGAATAATAAAGATGTAAGGAAAAAGAAGAACTTCAGCTCAAAGACACACAAAATATATTTAACAAAATCATAGAGGAAAACATTTTTAACCTAAAGAACATGCCTATGAAGGTAAAAGAAGCGTAAAGCAAATAGACTGGACCCCAGCCCCCAAAATATCCCCTCTCTACATGATAATCAAAATACTAAACATAGATAATAGAGAAATATTATTAAGAGCTTAAAAACAAAATGGCCAGGTAGCATATAAGATCAGATCTATCAGAATTACACCCTACTTCTCATTGAAGATTCTGAATAACAGAAAGCCTTGGACAGATGTTTTAGAGACACTAAGAGAAGACAGATGACCGCTCAGCCTACTATACCCAGAGAAAGTTTCAATCACCATAGATGGAGAAAACAAGATATTCATGACAAAACCAGATGCAAATAATGCCTATCCAGAAATCCAGCCCTACAAAATGTACTAGAAGGAAAACTCCAAAACAAGGAAGTTCAATGTATCCATGAAAACACAGGCAATAGATACCATACCAGCAAATCTCAAAGAGTTGAAACACACACACACTACCATCAAAAATAACAGAAATAAACAATCACTGGTATTAAATATTCCTTAATATCAATAGACTCACCATGCCTATAAAAAGGAACAGGCTGACAGAATAGATACAAAAACCACATCCACCCTTCTACTTTATACAAGAAACATACTTCAACTTCAAAGACAAATATCACCTCAGATGAAAGGGTTGGAAAAAGGTTCCAATCAAATAGACCTAAGAAATAACCTAGGATAGCTATCCTAATATCTAAAACAAAAACAGATTTCAAACAAAATTAATCAAAAGAGATGGAGAAGGACATTTTATACTTATCACATCAAAAGTAAATCAAAATGAAGCCTCAAATCTAAATAATTATGCCCCAATTACAAAGGTACCCACTTATGTAAAAGAAACATTACTAATTCTTAAATCACACATCAACCCCCCTACGCACACATAGTAGGAGGCTTCACCATGCCACTCTTACCAGTGGATAGGTCTTCCAGACAGAAAATGAACTGAAAACAAGAGATCTTATTTTTCTGTCATAATTTCTCTATGAAATGTTCTATGGACTTCTATTATGTTCATTTGAGTCATAATATGACATAATAAACATGTACAGAATATTTCAACCAAACACAAAAGAATATACCTTCTTCCCAGTACCTCATGGAACTTTCTCTAAAATTGACCACATAGTCAGTCACAAAACATCTCTTAACACATACAAAAAAATTGGATAACCCTGACATCTTATCAGATTAATATGCTTAAAGTTAGAATTCAACCACAACACTCATTGCAGAAAGCTAACAAACTCATGGAAACTGAACAATGTTCAAATGAATATCCCTTGGGTCAATGAAGAAATAAAGAAATTAAAGATTTCCTACAATTCAATGAAAATGAAGGCACAACATACCTAAATTTATGGGACACTATGAAAGTAGTACTAAGAGGAAAGTTCATAGCAATAAGTGCCTATAAAAGGAATTTGGAGAAATCTCACACCAGCAATTTAACAGCACACCTGAAGGCTCTAGAACAAAAAAAAGACTCACCCAGAAAGAATAGCTGCAAGAAAATAATCAAACTAAGAGCTGAAATCAATAAAATAGAAACAAAGAAAACAATACAAAAAAAATGAAACAGAGTTGGTTCTTTGAGAAAATCAATAAGATAGACAAATTCGTTTTTTATTGATTTTTATTGAGCTTTACATTTTTCTCTGCTCCCCTCCCTGCCTCTCTCCTCCCCCCTTAAAACGTCCCCAAAATGTTCCCATGCTCTCAATTTACTTAGGAGATCTTGTCTTTTTCTACTTTCTATTTCCCATGTAGATTAGCTCTATGTAAATCTCTCTTAGTGTCCTCGTTGTTGTCTAAGTTCTCTGGGATTGTGGTTTGTAGGCTGGTTTTCTTTGCTTTATGTTTAAAAACAACATATGAGTGAGTACATGTGATAATTATCTTTCTGTGACTGGGTTACCTCACTCAAAATAATGTTTTCTAGCTCCATCCATTTTCCTGCAAAATTCAAGATATCATTATTGTTTTCTGCTGTGTAGTACTCCATTGTGTAAATGCACCACATTTTCCTTATCCATTCTTTGGTCAAGGGACATTTAGATTGTTTCCATGCTTTGGCTATGGTAAATAAAGGTGCTATGAACATAGTTGAGCACATGTCCTTGTGGCATGATTGAGCATCCTTTGGATATATACCCAAAAGTGGTATTACTGGGTCTTGAGGAAGGCTGTTTCCTAATTTTCTGAGAAACTGCCACACCAAAGGGGCTATACCAGCTTGCACCCCTACCAGCAATGTAGAAGAGTTCCCATTTCCCTAAACCTCTCCAGCATAATTTGTCATCAGAGTTATTGGTCTTGGACATTCCTACAGGTGTAAGATGGAATCTCAGAGTTGTTTTAATTTGCGTTTCTCTGATAACTAAGGATGTTGAACATTTCCTTAAATGTCTTTCAGCCATTTTAGATTCCTCTGTTGTGAGTTCTCTGTTTACATCTGTACTCCATTTTTGTATTGGATTATGTGTGGGATAATTGTCTGTATTCTAGTAATCATGTTTTAAATAAATGCTGATTGGCCAGGCAGGAAGTATAGGCAGGTCAATCAGACAGGAAGTAGAGGTGGAACAAAGACAACAAAAGTATTCTGGGAAGCAGAAAGCTCCATCCGCACTCCTGCCTAGACCACTGAAGAAGCAGGATGTGAGCCACTCCTCTGAGAAAAGTACTGAGCCATGTGGCTAACATAGATAAGAACAATGGGTTACTATAAGTTATAAGAGCTAACAAGTAGCCTGAACTAATCATTTATAACCTAATGTAGACTCTCTGTGTGATTTTCTTTGGGGGCTTGCCAGCTATGGGGTACTTGGCAGGACAGAAACCCCAACAAGCAGGCCCCTCATGTTACAATTACGTGTTCTTTTGGTGACCAATTTCTTGAGTTCTTTGTATATTTTAGAAATCAGACCTCTGTCTGATGTAGGATTAGTAAAGATCTTTTCCCATTCTGTAGGCTGTCGTTTTGTCTTGTTGACAGTGTCATTTGTTTCACAGAAGCTTTTCAGTTTCAGGAGGTCCCATTTATTAATTGTTTCTATCAGTGTCTGTGCTATTGGGGCTGTATTTAGGAAGTGGTCTCCAGTGCCAATGCATTCAAGTGTATTTCCCACTTTTCCTTCTCTAAGGTTCAGTGTGGCTGGCTTTTTGTTGAGGTCTTTGATCCATTTGGACTTGAGTTTTGTGCATGGTGATAGATATGGGTCTATTTTTATTCTTCTACAAGTTGATATTCAGTTATTCCAGCACCATTTGTTAAATATGTTTTCTTTTTTCCATTTGATATTTTTTGCTTCTTTATCAAAAATCATGGGTTCGAAGATATCCAGGTCTTCTATTTAGTTTCATTGGTCCTCCTGTCTGTTTTTATGCCAATACCAGGCTGTATTCAGTACTGTAGCTTTATAGTAGAGCTTGAAGTCAGGGACTGTGATTCCTCCAGAAGTTCTTTAATAGTACCGGATTGTTTTGGTTATTCTGTTTTTGTTTTTTTTTTTGTTTGTTTTGTTTTTTTTTTTTGATTTTCCATATGAAGTTGAGTCCCATTCTTTAAAGGTCTGTGAAGAATTTTGCTGTGATTTTGATAGGCATTGTGTCAAATCTGTAGATTGCTTTTGGTAAGACTGCCAATTTTACTATGTTAATTCTCCCTACCCGGGAGCATGGGAGATCTTTCCACTTTCTGGTGTCTTCTTTAATTTCCTTTTTTAAAATATTTATTTATTTATTATGTATACAATATTCTGTCTGTGTATATGCCTGCAGGCCAGAAGAGGGCACCAGACCCCATTGCAGATGGTTGTGAGCCACCATGTGGTTGCTGGGAATTGAACTCAGGATCTTTGGAAGAGCAGGCAATACTATTAACCTCTGAGCCATCTCTCCAGCCCTCTTCTTCAATTTCTTTCCTCAAAGATTTAAAGCTCTTGTCATACAAGTCTTCTACTTTTAGTTGCTTTGAGATATTTTATGCTATTTGTGGCTATTGTGAAGGGTGTTGATTCTCTGATTTCTTCCTTAGCCCTTTTATCATCTGTTTACAGGAGGGCTACTGATTTTTTTGAGTTAATCTTGTATCCTGCTACATTACTAAAGAGTTTATGAGTTGTGAAATTCCTTGGTAGAATTTTTGAGATCACTTATGTAAACTATCATATCACCAGCAAATAGTGAGAGTTTTACATCTTCTTTTCCAATTTGCATCTCTTTGATCTCCCTTTTGTGTCTTAGTGCTCTATCTAGGACCTCAAGAATAATATTGAATAGATATGGAGAGAGTGGACAACCTTGTCTTATTTCTGATTTCAGTGGAATCGCTGGGAGTTTCTCTCCATTTAGTTTGATGTTGGCTGTTTGGTTGCTGTAGATTGCCTTTATTATGTTTAGGTATGTTCCTTGTATCCCTGCTCTCTCCAAGACCTTTATCATGAAGGGATGTTGTATTTTGGATAGACAAACTCTTATCCAAACTAACCAAAAGGTAGAGAGAGAGAACACCCAAATTAACAAAATCAGAAATGAAAAGGGGACATAACAACAAACACTGAGGAAATCCACAGAATCATTAGGTCATACTTCAAAAACCTATACTCCCAAAATCAGAAAATCTAAAAGAAATCCACAGCTAAGCACTGGACAGAACTCCCAGCATCCACTGGAAGAGAGGGAGGATGGATTATATGAGGAAAGGCATGAAGATCATAATGGGCAAAACCATAGAGACAGCTGACCTCAGCTAGTGGTAGCTCACTTACACTGACTTACAACTGGGGAACCTGCATAGAACTGAAGTAGGCCCTCTGAATGTGGGTGACAGATGTGTGGCTTGGATAATTTCTGGGTCCACTGGCAGTGAGAGAATGATTTATCTCTAATTCACTAATTCATTTTTTGGAGCCCATTCCCTATGAAGGTAGACCTTGCTCAGACTCATTACAGGGAGAGGGACTTGGTTCTTTCTCAGTTGATATGCCAGACTTTGCTGACTACCCATGGGAGTCCTGACCCTCACTGAGGAGTGGTGGAAGGAAGGGGGAGAGGGAGAAGGGGAAAGAGAGAGCTGTGTTTGGCATGTAAAATAAAAAAAAAACTTCTAAATAAAAAATTTTTTAAAAGAAAATAATATTTTTCAAATACTGTATCAAATCTGCATGTTATTTCTACATTCATTATAATACAAAAAATCTCTAGTAAAAATACAGTTTCATAAACAGCTTTTGTAGTATTTCATGATCAAGTCTTGGAGATTCTTCTCACACTGAACTGCTGTTTTGTTGGCACACAGTGGAGATGAGCTTTTCTACTTATGTTCTTCTACTTTAGACTTGCCACAGTTGTGCAAACTAAAACACTCTCCCCCAAGAGTAAAGATGCATTCTCTTGCTTTGTCACTTACCTGCTATGCTGAATACTATAACAGTAAATAAAATAGTTGGAAATAACCTCCTGGGTACCAGCTCAGCCAGCAATTTCCCAAGAAAATATGATGACACTCTGTAGTATCCACTGGAATGCTCACGTCTACAGAGACAAAGATCATGTTATACATCCTTAGATTAGTCCAGAAGGCACAGGGCAGATGCTGGCTACATTGACTACTGTTATGACAGGGAGCCTCACAGGACAGTGTTCCCTATTGTCCAGGCTGACTCCCAAACATGTTCCCATCTTAGTGACGAACATCTCTAGGCCATCAGCCTTATGATATTCTCACTATGATTCTCCTCACCAAAGAACTCTCCCTTTTGTCCACTCTGGGCACACAACAGCCCCTCCAAGGAAACAACCTGATGTGCCCACTCTCAACAGAGTCTCTACCCCTCTGAGGCTAGTTCCCTGATGGGCAACTCATTTATACCTCACCTCAGACAGTGGTCATGGAGACTTCTCTCCTTCCAGTTCTTATGAAGAAGGTGACACTGTCACGCTGAGGTCACAGTGCAGCTTCAGGACATTACATCCTTCTCTATCATTAGCCTTACTTTAGGACAGATGTAGTCCTTCAATGATCTGTATTTTCACCATGAATATTTACTACCATATACCAAATCTCATCCTTTCCCTTCCTGGTTCTTCCAAAACTTAAGCTCTTCCCCTCCCAGTGTCTTCAGTGCATCTCTGTATTTTTTTTTTCATTTTTAAAACAAGATCACCAGTGCAGGCTGGCACTAAATTCCATATGTAGCCAAAACTGATCAGCTGCCTTTCTCTAGCCCAGCCCTAAGTGCTGGCATTATAGAAATACAGCCATGCTCAAGGATTTGTGGTACTAAGAACCAAACACAGAGTTTCATGCACACAAGGCAAACACTTTTTTTAATGAGACCCTTAGCTCCTCTCTGATGACTCCTCTCCTTGACATGTACTTGGGGGCAAATCTTGGTCATCTTTGAGAGCAGGGAATCCTAAGGATAGACCACCAGGAAAAGTTTCTTCCATGTTTGAAAACACAGGACATAAACAGCTCATTTCTACACAGCTACTGTCTGGCTCTTTCCAGCCCTCCATCAAGAGGACACTGATCCTTGTACAGCTGTACCTCTCCAACTCCAGTGTGCTGGTGAACCCACTATACTTATACTCCATTAAACCCCTAACATCCTTCTTTGGGGCATCATGAATTTTCTGGGGTTTTTTTTTGTTTTTTTTTTGTTTGTTTGTCTTTTGTTTTTTTTCCAGGCCCATACAACTGTGTTGTCTGCAGCACTGGGATCTGGTGGTCTCATCCCAAATTTGAAACTTTTACTGAATAGCAAGCAACTCTGATCTTGATTTCCCACCCAATTTTCAGATAATATTAGTAAACTCTTCACATACTTTAAAAATCATGATAACACATGAGAAACACACAATTTCATAATTTGTGCATTTTCAACTAAATAAGTAAGAAAAGAGAATATCACTGGTAATTTATGAGATAGCATTCTAGGTCCAACTACAAATGTAATTAACTTGATCACCAGCCCATGCTGTCTGCTTCTGGAGCAGGGGTTACTCACAGAAAGCGATTACTGTCAAGCACGAAGAGCTCACCAGCAGTCACACTGGTGAGACACTGGAAGACTGTGAGCAAAAATAGCAGGCTGGCTCTGCCAAGAGAGAATGGAGGCAAAAGCAAGAGCAAATTCAACATTAGGATCATTTCTTTGCAATACACATTGTTCTGTAGAGTAAATAATATTACACAGGCTTATTCTTTTTTTTTTAAATTTATTTATTTATTAAGGATTTCTGCCTCGTCCCCACAACCGCTTCCCATTTCCCTCCCCCTCCCCCCGATCAAGTCCCCCTCCCTCATCTGCTCGAAGAGCAATCAGGGTTCCCTGACCTGTGGGAAGCCCAAGGACTGCCCACCTCTATCCAGGTCTCGTACGGTGAGCATTCAAACTGCCTAGGCTCCCACAAAGCCAGTACGTGCAGTAGGATCAAAAACCCATTGCCATTGTTCTTGAATTCTCAGTATTCCTCATTGTCCGCTATGTTCAGCTAGTCCGGATTTATCCCATGCTTTTTCAGACCTAGGCCAGCTGGCCTTGGTGAGATCCCAATAGAACATCCCCATTGTCTTAGTGTGTGGGTGCACCCCTTGTGGTCCTGAGTTCCTTGCTCGTGCTCCGTCTCCTTCTGCTCCTGATTTGGACCTTGAGATTTCTGTCCGGTGCTCCCGTGTGGGTCTCTGTCTCTGTCTCCTTTCATCGCCTGATGAAGGTTAATATTCCTGAGGATGCCTATGTGTTTGTCTTTGGATTCGCCTTATTTAGCTTCTCTAGGAACATGAATTATAAGCTCAATGTCCTTTATTTATGGCTAGAAACCAAATATGAGTGAGTACATCCCATGTTCCTCTTTTTGGGTCTGGCTTACCTCACTCAGGATAGTGTTTTCTATTTCCATCCATTTGTATGCAAAATTCAAGAAGTCCTTGTTTTTTACTGCTGAGTAATACTCTAATATGTATATATTCCATACTTTCTTCATCCATTCTTCCGTTGAAGGGCATCTAGGTTGTTTCCAGGTTCTGGCTATTACAAACAATGCTGCCATGAACATAGTTGAGCATATACTTTTGTTGTATGATAGGGCCTCTCTTGGGTATATTCCCAAGAGTGGTATTGCTGGATCCAGGGGTAGGTTGATCCCGAATTTCCTGAGAAACCGAAACACTGCTTTCCAGAGTGGTTGCACAAGTTTGCATTCCCACCAGCAATGGGTGATTGTACCCCTTTCTCCACAACCTCTCCAGCAAAGGCTATCATTGGTGTTTTTTATTTTAGCCATTCTGACAGGTGTAAGGTGGTATCTTAAAGTTGTCTTGATTTGCATTTCCCTGATCGCTAAGGAAGTTGAGCATGACCTTAAGTATCTTTTGGCCATTTGAACTTCTTCTGTTGAGAATTCTCTGTTCAGCTCAGTGCCCCATTTTATAATTGGGTTGATTAGCCTTTTACGGTCTAGTTTCTTGAGTTCTTTATATATTTTGGAGATCAAACCTTTGTCAGTTGCAGGGTTGGTGAAGATCTTCTCCCAGTCAGTGGGTTGTCTTTTTGTCTTAGTGACAGTGTCCTTTGCTTTACAGAAGCTTCTCAGCCTCAGGAAGTCCCATTTATTCAATGATGCCCTTAGTGTCTGTGCTGCTGGGGTTATACATAGGAAGTGGTCTCCTGTGCCCATTTGCTGTAGAGTACTTCCCACTTTCTCTTCTATCAGGTTCAGTGTGTTCGGACTGATATTGAGGTCTTTAATCCATTTGGATTTGAGTTTTGTGCATGGTGATAGATATGGATCTATTTTCATTCTTCTACAGATTGACATCCAGTTTTGCCAGCACCATTTGTTGAAGATGCTCTCTTTTTTCCATTGTATACTTTTAGCTCCTTTATCGAAGATCAGGTGTTCATAGGTTTGTGGGTTAATGTCAGGGTCTTCTATTCGATTCCATTGGTCGACTTCTCTGTTTTTATGCCAATACCAAGCTGTTTTCAATACTGTAGCTCTGTAATAGAGTTTGAAGTCAGGGATGGTAATGCCTCCAGACAATCCTTTATTGTATAAGATTGTTTTGGCTATCCTGGGTTTTTTGTTTTTCCATATAAAGTTAATTATTGTTTTCTCCAGATCTGTGAAGAATTTTGATGGGATTTTGATGGGGATTGCATTGAATCTATAGATTGCTTTTGGTAGAATTGCCATTTTTACTATGTTGATCCTCCCAATCCAAGAGCAAGGGAGGTCTTTCCATTTTCTGGTGTCTTCTTCAATTTCTTTCTTCAAAGACTTATAGTTCTTGTCAAGTAGATCTTTCACTTCCTTGGTCAGGGTTACCCCAAGGTATTTTATGCTATTTGTGGCTATCGTGAAAGGTGATGCTTCTCTGATTTCCCTCTCTCACAGGCTTATTCTTTAAAAAATAAAGCACGGATGGAGAAATGGCTCAGCAGTAAAGAGTGTTTGTTGCTCTTGCAAAGGACCTGGGTTTAGTTGGCAACAACTACAGGATGGATCACAACAGTCTGTCACTACAGTTCAAGGGGAGCCCATGTTAGCTAGTTTTATGTCAAATTGACACAAGCTAGGGTAATTTGAAAGAGGGAACCTCAATTGAGAAAATACCTCCATAACATCCAGGTGCAAGGTGTCTTCTTAATTAGTGATTGATGTGGGATTCCCCTCTGTATGCTGTGAGTATGTTTTATTATCATTGGTTAATAAAGAAGTTGCTTTGGCCTATAGAAGGGCAGCATATAGTGAAAGCAATATGGGGGGGGGCAGAAGAGACACTGCTAGTAGCCTGACAGAAACCAGGCCTGATGGAGGAAGGTCATTGGCTAATAAAGGAGCTGCCTTGGCCCATTTTATTGGTTAGAGGATAGGTGGGAGGAGTAAACAGAACAGAACACTGGGAGGAAGAGGAAGTGAGCTCAGACTCCACAGCTCTCCTCTCGGGAGCAGACGCCTCAGAGAGAGGCCATGCTCCCGGCTCCTGGGCAGAGGCACACGATGAAGCAAGCCACCAGGTCAGACATGCTGAATCATACCCGGTAAGACCAGTGCTCACAGATTATTAGAGATGGGTTGATCGGGATATCAGAATTAGCCAGTAAGGGCTAGAGCTAAAGGGCCAAGCAGTGATTAAATGAATACAGTTTGTGTGTTGTTATTTCGGGCATAAGCCTAGCAGTCGGCTGGGGTGCTGGGAATGCAGCCCTGCCGCCCTTATTACTACAGATTGGCGTCCAACGTCGGGCTATTTTGCCCCCAACTCAAGCGGGTAGCCCGCTAGCTAACACAGCACCCTCCCGGGTGCTGTTTTTCAGTTCGTGACTCCGGCCCCAGTGCCAAGTCCGAGACATACTCGGCTACACAGGCCCATTCTGCCTGCCTTGGCTAAGTTTTTCAGTGGAACCCCACTGCCTGAATTAGCAGAAGCTCAAGTACCTGTGGTTTTGCAACAAAAGTTGCCACAGCATCAGATTTGGTCTGATACAAAGTGACTTGTCCGGGCAGTGGTGGTGCACGCTTTTGATACCAGCACTTGGGAGGCAAGGGCAGGCGGATCTCTGTGAGTTTGAGGCTGGCCAGGCAGTGGTAGCGCACGCCTTTAATCCCAGCACTTGGGAAGCAGAGGCAGGCGGATCTCTGTGAGTTTGAGGCCTGCCAGGCCGTGGTAGTGCACGCCTTTAATCCCAGCACTTGGGAGGCAGAGACAGGCAGATCTCTGTGAGTTCGAGGCCAGCCTGGTCTACAAGAGCTAGTTCTAGGACAGGCTCCAAAAACACAGAAACCACTACTGGCAGGAACCGATCATTGCAGGTAAAAAATTTTTCTTTTATAAATAAAATGTCTGAACACATTACTGTTCAAGAATTTAACAGTTTTTTTTTAATTGTACCATGTGGGAGATTTTACAAGAGGTGTCTATCACCCCACATCTATGGATCCTTCCGGGATTCATAGTTTTCATTGGCACCAAATGGTTTGATAATAGAAATATGATAAAGTCTTTACGAGACGAATCCAGGATTCTTAAGGCAGAGACTGAACGCTTAAAAACAATTGAGAATGATAACAATCTTCTCAAGAATCAGTTTGAAGTTCTCCAGGCTGATAACAATCTTCTCAAGAATCAGTTTGAAGTTCTCCAGACTGGTAACAATCTTCTCAAGAATCAGTTTGAAGTTCTCCAGGTTGATGTTAAGGAGAAATTCATTACTATGGAAGAGGGAACAGCTGATCTGGATTGTAAGTTTCAGTCCCTTTCTGTAGGAACTGAAACATTAGTGGCTGATATTAAGGAGAAATTCATTACTATGGAAGAGGGAACAGCTGATCTGGACCATAAGATTCAGTCCCTTTCTGTAGGAAATGAAACATTAACTGAGAGAATCAAAACTGCTGAATGTGACAATTGGATTTTGTCTAAAGCTTATGACAGATTGACGGAAAGATTGTCAATACAAGAAGGCACGGTTTATGCCATAAAAATTATATCCAAAGATGAGATGTTATCTCTAACGGACAAACTTCATACTTTAGAATCCTCAATGAAGGCTTTGGAACATAATTCTGGACAGGAGATTCAGACATTGCAGAAGGCAATGGTGAATAGAATTGAAAAGGTTGAGGAATTTCTAAATTCTGATGAAGAAGAGCAAAGGGTAGAAAGGCAAATTTTAACTACATCTGTGGGTAAGTCTCTCCGGGACAATTTCCACAAAGCTCTACCTACAGCTCTACCTGCCTTTCCAGTAATAACAACAGAGAAGGTGATTGGTTCCAAAAACCCTAGGGTCATCATGGAGGATACATGGGAGCCTGTCCGTATGAATGATCTCAAGGAAATAAAACAGGCTGTCATGACTTTTGGGATGCAAGCCCCTTTTGTTAAAGAGATGCTAAGATCTTGGGCCACGACAAGCAGAGCAACCCCCTGGGACTGGCTCCAGCTGAGCTCTGCTGTACTTGAGAGTGGACTGCAATTGAAATGGAAATGCTTATTCAGGCAAGAGGCTAGACTCTTAGAACGGCAGGAAAAAGCGGAGGGAATTGACATTTCCCTAGATCAAATTATAGGTGAAGGGCTCTTTTCTGA